GCGGTTGGTGAGAGGGGAGAAACCAACTCGCGGGGAGGGGAGTGTAGAGCAGCCAATGAAGTGTGTTGTGGTACGGGGACGGGGGCGCAAGTACGACGTCGGAACGAACTTTACGCCCAGCGCAGAAACGACAAATAAAGTTGGGTTTGTTTTGAATAGCAACACATCCGGGGATCTGAGCGTCCTTAGTAGCTGGACTGGACCGCCGCCAGGGAGAGGGTAAAGGGAGAGGGGGTGAGGGTTAAGGGGAAGGGGAAGGGGAAGGGGAAGGGGGAAGGGGGAAGGGGGGAGGGGGTAAAAGGTAAAAGGATATAGAGAGGGTGAGGAGAGGAGGGAGAGGGTTCCAGGATCCGGCGCTCACCCCTAGCCTGGCGGAGGAGGCGTGTATCTGCTCTGGGCTGGAATTACACCGAGTCAGTTTCTAGTAAACGTGAGCGACCCCGTTTTCCCCGCCTCGAGCGTCAATCTTTAGGTACTGAATCAGGGTCTTTCGCCGATGTTAGTAAATATCAGGAGTAAACTCATTGCGGATGGATGTGAGACTCCCATGAATTTGATTTCTCGGTGTTTGTGGGATTTGTTCACGTCTGCCTGGGCCAGCATTGACATGAGAAGGTGGTGTGGTGAGTCCTAGGCGTGTAGGTGCACCCACTGCCCTTAAAGGGGGAATTTCGGGGTTTTGACCCAGCAACAGTCAAGGAACAGGGATTATTTCCAAACTAGAATGGTCAGTAGATCTAAGGGGAACTTGCAGATGGTGTTCCCATGGTAAAGATCAGGGATTTAGAACTGCTGGCAAAAGAACCTGGATGAATTGCTGCAGTGTATCTTGAAAACTGATTTAATTAATTGGTTCCATAATTTTAGATGATAATGGACATTGTCAGAGGCCAGCTTGATGAGATTTCACGCCCAGCATCTGGTTCTCGAACTCGTCCTGGGAGCCGGGTGGCAAGCGGACCATCACCAGACAGGCGACACTTGAGTGTGCAATCCTCAGGAGCTATGGTAGTTTTAACTCCTGAACCAATTTTACCCCAGGTAAAATGCCAGCTCTTTGAAACTCAGTTTCCCCCCTGCCTCCTCACTCCTTTCTGAATTGTTTCTTCAGGCAATCACATAGTCAGAACTTATAAACAGTTGGCTACAAGAGTGACCATTGGCCTGACTATGGTTTTCAAAAGCAGAATAGAAAGAGAATGTTGAGGCGATGAGATGGGAATGGTGTAGGCAAGAGTTTTCCGTTTCAAATTGGAAGGACCTCTGGAGATACAAGACACTACCTTTGACTTATTTTCCAGAGCATCAGTGGTGTTGTTCAAATTGTGGATGGACTGTTTTTTTTAAAAGAAGTTATGAAGGCTAAGTTACTAATTTATTTTGTGCAAATTGTCAATGCAGTACTTAAAGTGCAGATTGATATTGGGTGTTGACGTATATTTGTAAGTAATTATTTTGACAGAATTTATTTCTTTTCTGAGGTTATGCATTTGGTAGGAAGAATACAGGCATTGAATATTTTCTAAACAGGGAAAGGCTTCAGAAATTGGAAGCACAGAGGGACTTAGGAGTCCTAGTTCTGGATTCTGTTAAGGTTAACATGCAGGTTCAGTTGGCAGTTAGGAATGCAATGTTAACATTAATTTTGAGAGGGCGAGAATACAAGAGCAGGGACATACAGCTGAATGTGTATAAGGCTCTGTCAGACTGCATTTGGTATGTTGCAAGCAGTTTTGGGCCTCGTGTAAGGAAGGATGTGCTGGCATTGGAAGGGGTTCAGAGAGGTTTACTAGAATATTCCCGGGGATGAAGGGCTTATCATATAAGGAGTGACTGAGGACTCTGGGTCTGTACTCAATGAAGTTTAGAAGGTATCTCATTGAAACTTATAGAATACTGAGGGGTTTGGATAGAGTGGACATGGAGAAGATGTTTCCTCTAGTAGGAGAGATGGGGACCGGAGGGCAGAGCCTCAGAGTGAAGGGATGACCCTTTCGAACTGAGGTGAGGAGGAATTTCTTCAGTGAGCGGGTGGTTCGTCTGTGGAACCCGTTACCACTGAAGTCTGTGTAGGCAAAGTCATTGAGTATATTTAAGAGGGGGAGAGAGAGAGAAAGGTTCTTGGTTAGTCTGGGGTTATGGGGAGGAGGCAGGAGAATGGGGTTGAGGAACATATTAGCCATGATTGAATGGTAGAGCAGATTCAATGGACTGAATGGCCTAATTCTGCCCCAAATCTTGTGGTTTTGTGAGGATATTGAGGATATAACGGAATTGAGAGCTGGGCTCAACAGTGGAAAATAGAATTCAACCCAGAAAAGTGTGAAGTAATGCACATGGGGAGGACCAACAAGGCAGAGCATCTCACCATGAATGGAAGGACCGCTGGGAAGAATTGAAGATCAGATGGCCTTTGGTGTACATATCCACAGAGCCTTCAAGGTAGCAAGGGAGGTAGTTAAAGTGGTTTGGAAGGCACATTAAATAGTTACCTTTGTTAGTTAAGGTTATGCCATAACTGGAGTACTGTGTGAAGTTCTGGTAATCACATTATAGGAAGGATGTGATTGCATCAGAGAGGGCGCAGTGGAGATTTCCCAAATTTTTACCTCGGCTGGAGGCTTGAGCTATGAGGACAGATTGGATAGGCTGAGATTGTTTTCCTTGGAGCAGTGAAGGTTGAGAGAGGTCCTCTTAGAGGTACGTAAGTTTATAAGGGGCATAGATTGGGCAGATAGGAAGGCACTTTATCCAAAAGTAGGGGGCCCAATAACCAGGGACATAAATTTAAGGTAAGAGGTAGAAGGCTAAAAAGAGAGTTGAGGAGATTTTTTTTAACCTAGAGGATGTTGGGAGTCTGGAACTCACTGCTGGTAAGGGTTGAATCAGAATTTCTTGTAACATTGAAACTGGTTTAGATCTTCACTTGAATGGCTGTAGCCTTCAGAGCTCTGGTCCAAAAGTTGAAAAATAGGGTTACTGCAGTTGGACCCTAGTCTGTGTGGATATGGTAGGACGATTGATCTCCTTTTGTGCTGTAAATGTCTATGAGAATTTATTACATGTGATGCCATGATGACAGTAATGAAGTTGTTTCCAAAGAAGTGGCAAATTTTCTTTTATTGCATAAACTAAGAAAAGTAGCTCACACTTTTATAGCATTTCACATGCTGTACATGTGTACGTTTAAGAAAGGGACACTTGGTGACTGGTAGCACTTTTGATTTGATTTATTACTGTCACATATACCTAGTAACAGTGAAAAGTTTTGTTTTGCATGGAGTACAGGCAGATCATACCATACAAAGTACATTAGGGTATAGAACAGAGTGACGAATACAATGTTACAGCTGCAGAGAAGATGCACAAAGAGCGAGATCAACATTAAATTTAAAATTTGCGAGGTCCATTCCGAAGTCTAATAACAGAGGCGAAGAAGCTGTGCTTGAATTTGTTGGTACGTGTGTTTAAGCTTTTATATCTTCTGTCTGATGGAAGAGTATGGAGGAGGTTATAACAGTGGTGGAAGGGGTTTTTGATTATGTTGGCCACCTTCCTGAGGCAGCAAGAAATGTAAGTGGAGTTAATACATGTGGATGTGACAAAAGATAGTAGGTTCAATCCCCTCTACAGGGATTGCATGGTCATATGTTCTGTCTTTTGGATGAAGTGATAAACTGGCGTGTTGGAATAGATGACAAGCTTGAAGGAAAGATAGAAAGAAAATTGCAGAGAGGAGAGAAGATAACTGAAGGAACATTGAGATTTGAGACATTGAGAGTGAGTTTGGCAAGCTGACTGTGGAGCCCACAATATGGATGGTCTTGAATTTGGATGCACAAAATTTTTGATATTTTGTGATACAAAAATAAAATGCTGCAAATATTTGGAATCTGAAGTAAAAACAGGAAATGTTGGGAAAATGCTGCAAAACTGGATAGGGAGATAAAAGGTTAACACTTTATGATGACCCTGCTTTTGGTGGTGGGGGGGTAATCTTTTTTAGCTGAATTAATTTTTGTCCACAAAACATCATAGTCTAATTGTACCTCCTCCTCATCCTATTTTGTCCTCTTTTGTACTTTAGACAAGTTGGGACCACTGTGTTCATAGAGCAACTGAAATGATCACCACTGTATCTGTCTACAGGCTCTGTAGTTACTCCCTTACGTTTAGAAATAGTTCAATTTGGGTAAATTGAAGCACTTTATTAGGAAAACTTTGCCTTTTTTTTAATTGCAGGAAAGGTCTGACCCATTGGATAATCATATTAACTCCATGGATTCCACAGCAAATTCTTCCTTTGAGAATTTGGACAGTGAACATGAAACCTTTAATGAGCAAGATGGAGTGAACAATTTGGATACTGACAGTGTAGATGCTAGAACACCCAATGAGTCTCAGTTATCACCAGAGGAACATTTGGATTCCATTATTATACGGGAGATGCATATTTCAGACAAATCAGGTAACATTACTGCATACAGCAATAGTTCAAAATTCTAACATTTCTATTGTGCTTTCTTATAATTGCCCACTTTGCTTCATTAATTTTGATGCAGGTAAGTATCAGGAGGAAATGTCAGCATTATCATCAATTGTGGCCATTTGCCTCCCTTGTGAACTGGTCATGAAGATTCCTTGATTATGCACACTATATTTTGCGGCATGAGGGAACTATCGATCATTTTTGTTTTTGATTTCATCTTTATATGGCATAATTCTACAAGCTCATTGAATTGGAGGATGAGATGTTTTATAGACACACTCATGTTCTACAATGCAAGAATGTGCTGGATCAGATTTCTGATGGCGATGATCAGAGATCAGTGTTATCTCTCCTGTTTTAGCTATTGTTTCTTTTTGACTGCCTACGACTTTTCTATTCCTCTTCTTTCTAGTCCCTTTTTTTGTCTCTTTCTTTCACATATTTTGAGTTGAGTAGTGTTTTTTAACCTGATGTAAAGATCTTTCTAATTGTGCTGGCATTTCTGCCTGTTTTTATCCCAAGCACTTTCTTTGGGCTTCACTGCTTACTTTCTCATTTGGGTGTCTCCCACTAACTTTTTGTATAGTTTATTCACACATATTTACTGTGAATTTATTGTATTTGGCCTGGAACTGACCACCTGTGTCCTGACTACATATCTTCTCCGTGATCAAACAACACATTTCTATCTCTGTACTCTTGACTGTCTCACCACTTTGATGCTGAAATTCTTATTTGTGCTTCGTCATGTTTAGGATGGATGCCATGACCAGCACTCCAACCTCACTGTTCTCCAAACTTCAACTCATCTAAAACTCTGCTGCATGCATTCCATTCCTGTATCATGACCTGTTCACTCATTAACCTGGATTACATTGATCCTGCATTTAGTCTTCTCATGCAATGCCTCAGGTTTAAAATGCATAATCTTGCATTTAATTGGCATAAAATTCTTTGCTTTTCCGAATTGTTACAACTTCTTCGAGTGTGAGAAGCCCACTTCTTTATAAATCTTGGTTCCTCTGATCCTTTGACATACTCTGACATCTCTTCTGTCACTGCTTTGCTCAAAAACAGTGGATCTTTGTTCTGATACGATGTGATCACAGATGAGGTTCCCCATTTTAATACAATCCCAGATGGAATACCCCAAACTGTTAGGCTTCTGAGTGAGGAGGGATGAACTGACTCCCGTTCTTTATTCACCCACCACCTCGGTTGATTACAATGAGGTTAATTTCAAAAGGATTCCTTCCCTTGTGGATATTTTCTCCCGGACCTAAATAATCTTGTGCTTTATAAAAAGCCAATTTAACAAGCTTCCTTGAGTTAATAATGAGTGAGTTTATTAATTACTCAGTGCAAGAGGAGTCAATAGTGCAACATGCATACTGACAAATTAGAAAGAAGCGATGATTAAAAACAGGAAACGGATACAATTTTAAACAAAACAGTTATATGGATTAGTCTCTGAATTGTTTGTGGGGAGCGGATAGTTTAACACTGCTGTTATTGCAATGGAGGATACGGGGAGTGTTGACATTGGCCTTTGAACAGTCGGGTTTGAGATTCTTGGGTTTGTCGGATGATCAATGTTCTTTTGACCCAATTTCTGTTTTTATAACTGGTTTATAGCACTTAGAGTAAGGGAGGCTCTTTATCTACAACAAAAGGTTAACTAGGGGATAGTTCTTCAACTGTGACCTTCAAAACATGCCAAAGCTCGAACACAGGCTGGTACGTACAGGAGTCTTCATTCCCAATAGCCCACTCCAGTATCATTGAAACTGGCTTTTTAACCCTAGTCCTTGTATTTTAATTTTTGAAGAATACGCAAAATGATTCTACAGTTTGAGAAGTAATCTGTTAGGGATGGCTTGCTATTGAGCAAGGATTACCAGCCCTTCATTATCTTTGTAGTCACAAGAGATTACAGTCCACTTCATTTGAAGTCTCTTTCAGCACTTCAGATGCTCCATTTCATTGGTCACTCTCTCTCCAGCATCTTAGGTTTGTTTAGTACATCCTCATCAATGGTGTGTCCCTTTGATCTTATACTTATAAATTCTGAGTCTGATACTACCTCTCTCACTAACACCTGAAGAAGGAGTAAGACTCCAAAAGCTTGTATTTTCAAACAAACCTGTTGAACTATAACCTAGTGTCATGTGATTTCTGACCTTGTCCACCCCAGTCCAACACCGGCACCTCCACATCATCTCTCCAGACGGCCACTTAATTTATGTTCATAGGATGTGTCCCTGCATGGGAGAGTCTAGGTCCAGAAAGTATAGTCTAGAATAAAGGGTGACCAGTTTAAGACAGAGATGAAGAGGAATTTCTTCTCTCAGGGTGTTGCGAGTCTTTGGAACTCCTTCCCGCAGAGAGAGCTGTGGGGGCAGAATCATTCTGTATGTTTAAGGATGAGATAGATTCTTGATTAGCAGGGGAATCAAGGTTATGAGGAAAACTCAGGAACGTGGATAAGAAGAATGCCCGATCGTCTATGATCTCGTTGAATGGCAGAGCAGGCTTGGGGGTGCTGAACAACCTACTTCTGTCTCTATTTCCTATGGTGTAGCTGCAGCCATATTTGGTTGTGTGTATCAGCTATCTTTTGAAAAAAACACACTTTGGAATTAAAATTTAAAAATGTCCACGGTACTTCAGGATTCTGACCCATCACGACAACTTGTATGATTATTTTTGCTTTGATTTTTAAGCTGCAGCAAAGTCCTTTGCTCCTCTATTCATCGTCTCCTTCAGAAGAGCGGTGTTCCATTACGCCTACATTTGTGGTTGAGAGGTGACTTTCTGAATACCAAAATTGTCAAGCTACAGCATGTTCTTCTACCTTTGGTTTCAAATTAACGATGCAGTTCAGATAAGTTCTTTAGAATCCAGATCAAATATTGCTGCTCCTCATAAACAGTCTCACTAAAACTTAATGGAAACTTCAAGAGAATTATGGTTTTTTTCACAGAAAAGTATTGTTTCTGGTGAGGATCAGTTTTCTCATGCCTGAGTGTACATAGAAAGATCTCCTCCTGTTTCAGTTACTCAGTAATGGCATTGAGAGCTTACAGATCAAATTTTGTATGACCGAATGCTGAGTACATCAAGCTCCTCTGTCTTTAATTCAGAGTATCCATACCTTGTGGTACAAGTACAGTTTCTTTCCCATTTCTCCCCAGCAACTTGTGAACCTCTCAGTAGGGCTGACGATGAAATGCTGGTGTATGATAATTTTGTGCAACAAGCCTATATCCACTCTAAACTTGAGTACCAGATAAGTGCCTGCGCTCCACTGGATGCAAAACAGACAATGCTAAATCAATTTGAAATGGGTTTCATGCAGTCACTGCATCATGTGAACACAACAGTTTGTGTTGAAATTCCTGAAATAAACGGTACAATGCTTAGTCAGTGTCCTGCATATAATGCAAGAATGTTCTTTCCTGATTGTAAAAAAAAAAAGAGTTGTGTTGTAGTTCCCAAGGGAGGTTAGATTCTGAAACAGTGAACCTCTTGTTAAAATGAAATACCTTGTTGGTTGTCATAGCTTTATAAGGGCTCATTCAGGCTATAACTTGTCTCTGAATAGTATTGTAAAACATAAATTTGAGTATGTAACCATTGTGTTCAATTTGTGTTATTAAAGATGACAGTTGTTCAATCTCTGTCAGAAACTTTACAATGGAATAGTTTATAGAGAAGTTCAGAAGCTGGTTGATGAGAAATATAATTTCCTTTTGTAGATCTCTCAAAATAAAAGAAATCAAATGCACACTGCTGCTATGGTCACATGTCAGGCTGGGTTGAAACTGTGTTGCCTCTTCACACTTTGGTTGGCTTGTAAAGAAGTTATGGGTTTCTGAATACAAATCTTTTAATGCGCAAGTGGGAGGGGGGAAATCTTTCAGTTATACTGTGCTTTACTATATCTTCAGGGAGTCCTAAAACAGTTTATATCTATTGAAGTATTTTTTGAAGTATGGTCAATGTTTTATTAATAATGGGTTGTGTACCGGAGGTCCTATAAACTGTAAGTGAGATGAACATCCAGTTAAATTGCTCTAATTTACCTTGGTTGAGCATTCAATGTCAACCAACCCACCAGATGAACTCCCTGATTTCTTTTTAATAACTTGTAGAATCTTTTATATCCAACCTTTACAAGGCACTGTTGAGTTCACAGCTGAAATACTGTGCACAATATTGGTCGTCTCTGGTAGAGGGATTGCTACGGAAGAGATAGCAGCTAATGTTGACTGTCAGTTAGCTGCCAATTTTAAACTAGGTAAGTTGACTCTGACTGGTCAAAGCAATGCCAATCAATCAGCTCTGTCCTCTCATGCAGTATAAATGCTGTTTTCCATTTACTTTGGTACTTTTTGCAAATTGTCCTAATGAGCAGAAGATGAAGACCTTTGACAAAATGTGTCTTGTCTCACAAATGCTAACTTTCTGTATTACCAAATGACTATCTGTTTTTGAATTTAGTTGTACATTTAGTTAACCAATACTCTGTTCTTGGGATCAGGGCTCTCAGTTCTCAAATATCAATGTAATTTAAATATGTGGAAGCTAAAAATACCTCAGTGTGATTATCAGAAAATATGTAGTACAATTAAAGAAAATACAATTATAATCACCTGCATTGTCTTTCCCCCTCTTTCCTTTCATTCAGAAATTCTATTTACTTCAGCTGATTGTGAAGTGGATTCAGAGAATCATTTGTCTACTGCAGGTCAAACCAAACCATCGAAGGAGGAATCTGGTAAGACTAGATTATTTTCAGTATTAGAAAAATGATATAATTTAATCCATTTGCACACTTTTGGCTCGTTTTATCTATGTGACAAATAAACTAAATCTAGATTGATACTTAATCTTGCTTGTTAAAAATGTTCTGCAGGAAGTTATTTCAAGCAGTATAAACCCATTTGTGAAATATTCACAAATTTGTCACGAAGTTGACAGTTATGATTAATTTAAAAACAGAGAAATTGACATTAGTATGCATGTATATTTCCAGATAAGGGTACCAGTTATTCTGAGGTAACCCCTCAGAAAAATTGGCAGTCATGCTGAGATTCCGTTCATGTAGTCATAGAGTTGCACAGCATGGAAACAGAACCTTTGGTCCAACTTATCCATGCCGACCAGATATACTAAATTAATCTAGTCCTTTTTGCCAGTGTTTGGCCCACTAAACCCTTCCTATTCATGTGCCCATCCAGATGCCTTTTAAATACTGTAATTGTACCAACTTCCACTACTTCCTCTGGCAGCTCATTCCATACGCGCACCACCCTCTGCATGAAAAAGTTGCCCGATTATGTCCCTTTTAAATCTTTCCCCACTCACCTCAATCCTATCCCCTCTAGTTTTGGACTCCACTACCCTGGGGAAAAGATCTTGGCTATTCACCCTACCTATGCCCCTCATGATTTTATAAATTGCTTTAAGGTCACCCCTCAGCCTCTGACGCTCCAGGGAAAATAGTCCAGCTTTTTCAGCCTCTTCCTATAGAGCAAAGCCTCCACTCCTGGCAACATCCTTGTAAATCTTTTCTGAACCCTTTCAAGTTTCACAACATCCTTCCTATAGCAGGGACAGCAAAATTGCATGCAGTATTCCAAAAGTGGCCTAACTAATGTCCTGTATGGCCTCAACATGTCCTCCCAACTCCTATATTCAATGCATTGACTAACAAAGACAAGTGTACCAAATGCCTTTTTCACTATCCTGTTTACCTGGAACTCTACTTTCAAGGAACTATGAACCTACAGTCCAAGATCTCTTTGTTCAGCAACAGTTCCCAGGACCTTACCATTAAGTGTATAACTCCTGCCCTGTTTCACTTTGCCAAAATGCAGCTACTCACGTTGATCTGAATTAAACTCCATCTGCTACTTCTTGGTCCATTGGTCCATCTGATCAAGGTCCCATTGTACTTTGAGGTAACCACTTGGCTGTCCACTACACCACCAATTTTGGTGTCATTTGCAAACTTACTAATCATACTTCGCATGTTCACGTCCAAATCATTTATCTAAATGGTGAAAAGCAGTGAACCCAACACCAATCCTTGTAGCACACCGCTGGTCAGAGGCCTCCAGTCTGAAAAGCAAACCTCCACCACCACACTCGGTCTTCTACCTTTGAGCCAGTTCTGTATCCAGTTGGCTAGCTGCACCATGTGATCTAACCTTGCTAACCAGTCTACCATGAAGAACCTTGTCAAACGCCTTACTGAAACCCATATAGATCACATCCACCGCTATGCCTCCATCACGCCTGTTAATTCTTAGAAAGCTCACTTAAGTTGGTGAGACACAATTTCCTGTGCTTAAAGCCATGTTGACTAACCCTAATCAGTCCTTGCCTTTCCAAAAACATGTAAATCCTGTCCCTCAGGATCCCCTCCAACAACTTGCCCACCACTGGTGGCTTTTCCTTACCACCTTTCTTAAATAGTGGAACCATGTTAGCCAATCTCCAGTTTTCTGGCACTTCTCCTGTGGCTATTGATGATACAAATATCTCAGCAAGGGGCCAAGCAATCATTTCCCACAAAGTTCTAGAGTACACCTGATCAGGTCCTGGGATTTATCCACCTTTATGCATTTTAAGACGTCACCTCTTCTGAAATATGGACATCTTTCAGGATGTTGCTATTTATTTCCCCAAATTCTCTAGCTTCCTAATCCTTCACCACAGTAGACACTGATGCAAAATACTCATTTAGTATCTCCTCCATCTTCTGCAGTTCCACACATAGGCGGCCTTGCTGATCTTTAAGGGCCCAATTCTTCCCCTGGTTACCCTTTCGTCCTTTTACTGTATTTGTAGAATCCCTTTGAATTCTCCTTAACCCTATTTGCCCTCCTAATTTCCCTCTTTAAGAATACTTCTACTGCCTTTATACTCTTCTAGGGATTAATTTGATCCCTGCTGTCTGTTCCTGAAATATGCTTCCTTTTTGTTTCTTGACCCAATCCTCAATTTCTCTAGTCATCCAGCATTCCTCATGTAAATTCAGGAGGCAGTATCCAATTTTCCGGAAATCTATTATTATCGTGTTTACGTGTGAGAGTCAATAATAGTTCATTTTCCTTTGGTCGGAAATCCATGAAAAACACACAGAATATGCTTATAAGTTATTTATGCAAAAGAAATTTTAAGTAAATTTTATCATGGCAAATATGAATTGAAGTGCAAAAGGTAGACACTGTGGTTATATCTGGTCCCTTGTGATTGTTTTACATTAAAACAATAGAAATCATTTTTAGATTGTGTTTAGACCAAGTTTTCAAATATTCCAAATACAGTGCTCTTGATATTGTTCTTACACCCCAGCAATGACAAATGGCACTTTGTGAGAACAGGCATGTCAAAGGATTAAATCCTTAAAAATGCAATCTGAGCACATGTCACCTTTTTTATACTGGCTGGTAGTGTGGTGTGTGAATATTTCAAAGAATCAGAAAATAACATATTCCTGTCATTTCCCCCACCCCCAAGATGCAAATAACTGTGTCTTTGTGGGTTCCTGGGGATTTGGGAAACCCGGCAGTGAAATGGAGGAAGGAGTTCCTATTTTGTGAATGGATGTCCGTTTTACATCTCCTTGTGCACCAGGAAGAGTTTGAGTGATTCTCTCCAAGAGCTTTCAACCCCTTTTCTTCTGTAGGTTGCAACCTCTGACTAGCCACTTTCAGGATTACTGACTCTATTCCCAACATCAGGCCTTGAACTATAGCCTATTCCTATTATAATTGCTGGGGAACCATTCCAATGGTCCTGACTGCAGTCTTCACACTTTGATTTTCCCAACCAGGAGCCTGTTAAATTTGGGTAGTTGGAAATGGAATAATTTCAAAAGATAGAGTCCCACTGTTATATTTGGTAAGACCCCATGTTGCTGGTCTGTCTAGGTTTCTATTCTGCTACAGAGTTTTCCTAGACCCTCAGAATATCACAGAAGAAATGCTGTGACCCTAAGATTAATTTATTACACAAAAATAAAACTGGAAATTTTTCTCTGCTTTTCTCTGCCCTATGAGAAGAACAGGCATATGTTACCTGGAAAGGCATTTGCGACGAAGATAGCAGATCATGCTTAATTGGTTATTACATGCCTATTCACTTTTGTATCTTGCTACATCTGGGTCCTCATGCACATCCATAATAAAGAAGTGGAGAAAGCAAAATGACAGTCTTTCCCATTGGAAAGGAGCAACATTTCAACATTTGTTACATGTTCCACCAACTTGGCATTACTATTTCAATTGTTTATGAAAGGACCCCTTTCAAAACAAGACAAAATAAAACTTCACCGTGAGGTATGCCTTATCACTTGGTACTTTAATGATCATAAATGCTGTATAATAAACAGACTTTAAGTCCTGATTACATTTTGTTTTTTATTTGTTTAGGGGCTAGATTTTGCCAAGTGTTTTTGGTATCAGGTTGGAAAGTGGGCTGGGGAGCCTAACTTCTTCCCTCCATCATGACATGTTACCAAAGGCAGGTACCTGAAGTGGAGCAGCTACCCAGTGGGTAGCCATTTGAGACAACTAGGTAACTAATCAAGGACTGCACCTTGCCTCCACCAGCATTTTACCAGAGTCAGGAGAGGAACTGTGCCTCCAAGGGAAGACTTATCCATGGGCTCATGTGGAGAAACATTCCTTCACGGCTACTCTCTGGCTCATTAAGGAGCCCTTCGGTGGCAAAGGGCACTTTGTTGCTGGAACATTTACTCCCACCCCTCAACAACCACCATCAGCCATGATTGCTGGGGACTGCTTGGCTAGCCCTAGTTTGCTGAAGAAAACTACCTTGTCTCCAAGGTGCTTTCCTCACCACTAACCACACCCCCCACTCCGTCCGTGTCCTGCACGAGTCGGACTGCCCTCTGGCAGTAGGTTACGTTAGGTCTCGATGAAGGAACTTCCTCAATTGTGATGATATTCAACCTTCTGTGTGTTGCTAATATATTGAATGCCTTTTGCCAGACCATAATAAGCAAGCAGATTTGGACCATAAAGGTGAAGATGCCCAACTTGAAGAGGCAATAGTGAAAATGAAAAAACTGGATAAAATTTTGGTTATGAAGCAGGAGAAAGAAAGGCAAGTGAAGAAACAAGGAGAAGAGCTAAGGAAAAAGCTTTGGGAGGAGCTTGAGGTAAGTCAACATCAAGAAACCCATGTAATGTTCTGATCCTTTTCTATCATTTTGCTTAATGTCACATATTGAGCAATGAGTGCAATTTATGTTTTTAATGTAATTTTAAAAAAATTCTTAGCTCTGTCACTGAGTTGATACCTTCAAAAATTTTCTGTGACAGGTAAAAAGTTCAGTCATGGTAATTCTCACATATTGCATAAACTTATTTAGTTCATTTTTATCCGTTTGCTGACAGGCAAATAATGCATTGCAGCATCCAACTCCACATTCATGCTTTCAAACTGATTTTTACTTAGAGCCTTTACTGAAGTCAAAAAGAAAAAGAACACTGACCATTTGAAATTAAAATAATTAAAAGCCACAAATATTTCACACTGAAATTCCATATATAATATCTTTGAGTGCTTTGGTAGTTGGTTATGATGTTGCTAATGGATTTGATGATGAAGACCTTGACTCGCAGATTAAAATTTATAGCTAATTAAAGTTATTAAGCCGTCAGTCCTTTGCAATGGCCTGGGAGCCTGTTAATCTGGCCTGTAGATAGGGACACTCCCACTGTACCACAAGAATCCGTCCCCAGCTGTATACACTTAAACTTTACTTAAACAAGTAACGATGATGGTGTTCCTGTTATTCTTTTATTTGGTGTTAGATAGTTCTTGAAGCTGTTGTAGATGTTTTAGCAGAGCTTTCAAAACACAGGGCCACCTCTTAATCTGTTTTCCCTCTTGTTCAACTTGACCTGACAGTTGTTTCGTTGCCTGTTCTCTCAGTTGGATTTACTCCTAGGTCATAAGATTTGGACTTTGAAACGGAAGTTAAAACAAAATTATTGTGATTTTTCTCCATAGGTGAAAGTGTTTGGTTGGTAATTTTGCGATATCTGATGTGAGGTGATAATGAGAATGAATAATGAGGACAGGCAATATTGAAAACACAAAATAAAAGAATAAGCATTTTTCAAACCTATGTTGAAACAATCTGAATTTGGGTAATAAGTTTTAATTATACAAAGAAAGGAATGAGAGGATAGAAAAATATATTAAATGAGAAAAGTTATGAAATTAGCCCCTAAGTTTATGTGCCACATGACATTGAAGTATATTGAAAGAAAACAGGAGGTGGTTTCAATGTTAATAAAAAAATAAATAAATTGGGAAAACCTGAAATTTAAAAAGTGGAGAATCAAATAAGGACATAAGTGCTAGCTTGGAAATTAAACAATAAACTGTATCCAAGTCTCAGATGTAATGGGCAGCAGTACACTTATTGATTATAAGATGATTCAAGAATATTAAATAGAGATGAATTTTCATTGTTACTACCTAGAAATGGTTTGTCAGATTGCATCCTCTGTCTTTTGCAAAATCCATCTGATTTCATTTCATTATGGAATGAAAATCATACAGTTTCTACCCTGGTGATTAATTTGCTGTAATAACACTTACCAACCAAATGCTACTGATGAAAATATAAGTTATGATGTGGAATTATGGAAGCAAGTGATGATAAACAAGCAAGGGAGGTAAAATGAACAAAATAAGAATGAGGGTATGTGAAGGTACTGAGAGACCTCAAAGATGATAGAAGACATTAGTTAAACTTGCCTAGCTCAAATTTGTATCATTAACATTAAATAGCAGATTTTAAAAATTTGATCATGGATTTTGGGGCATCGCTGGCACAGGCAGCATTTATTGCCCATCCTTATTGCCCAGATGTTGAGCCAACCATAATGGGGTTTGGAGTTATATGTAGACCAGACCAGGTAAGGATGGCAACTTTCCTTCCTGAAGGACATTGTTTGGTGTTTTTATAAAGATTAACAGTTGTTGTATGATCACCATTAGTCTAGCCTTTTATGTTTAAATTTTTATTCAAATTTTAACACCAGCTATGGTGGAATATAAACCCATGTTTCGAGAACATTAACTTCAGATTCTAGATTACCTTATGACTATGCTACTGTCTCCTCAGTTGTGCAGGCAATTGAAGCAAGAGTGGATCAGGTCTTCACTGATTACACTTGTGGTTCCTGTATGAGAGTCACTATACAGTGACTTACCCATATTTACGTACTTTCTTTACTCCATTCCATGTGTATGACCAATAAATTGTAGTGAAATAAAGATACAAACAGGTGACAGTAGAAAAACAAAATCACATAGTTGTTCTGACTCTTTTCCAGCCATTGAAACACCTGTGATCAGTATGACATATTCCAGAGCATCACAGATCTACCTGACTAACCTTGGAGCAAATTATCAGCCTCCGGATTTCTAGGACTACATTTGACTTAAGCCCCTTTACACAATACATAGCATACATTCCATGCTCTGTAGAAAGCTGTTTAAACTCATCCTATGTTAATGCTCAGGACGTAGGGGTAGTCAAGTAGTGTGGATTCTTATTCTCAAATGATAGTTATATTAAACTGAGCATAATGCAAGATTTGTTCACTGAATATAGATTATGAAAATCTCTAGTATCCTTAATAAGCAATAAGTCCTGATTATTTGGTAGGAAAAAAGTGAGAAAGAGTCTCAGAAGAAAGCAAGCAGCAGGAATATGAACATGGGAATCTCTGTTGCAGAAAATGTAAGTTCAGGGAAACCATTTCATATGAAGATTTTATTGCTTTTGTTAAGTACAAGACACGATATGCAGTTTTATTTACCCTTTAATTCCTCTCCATTTGTTCAACCTTCAGATACAAAAGAATATCAATATTTTATGTTGAGGGTTATAGGTTAGGTTGTAGGTTACACATGTAGCCTATGCAACAGTGGAAACTGGTGAGAGTGAACATTTTACAAATCAGTTGCTGGGTCTACAGTCAGAACTTGAAGAAGAGGAACCAATACTGTCTAGACTTCAGATAAGTCTGGAGTAATGGAGGGGCATGCTAACAGAGTCCAGCTATGATAATTTGGCAGTTGGGGAGCAACTTGAGAGGAAGGTTAAAGTTTGTGTGTGTGGGGAGGGGACTAAGTGCCTCTGATAGGTACAGGGAATCCTCACTGTTCTGATGAAAGGTTATAGGAGCTTTAACTCTGTCTGCATACAAATGCTGCCAGACTTGCTGAGCCTTTTCACCATTTTCTCTTTTTACTCTTCAAAGCATTTTTTTTGATCCAACCTTTGGTCTCCTTTCTAAATATCTCTACCTTTTGCTCAGTTTGTCATTTTGTATGACTGCATTTGTATGAAGTGCTTGGGACCTTTTCCCATATTAAATGCCTCATGAATGTAATTTATTTTTGATGAAATGAGTGATCCTTATCATTGCAGTCCTACCAATAATGTCAGTATGGAACTTTGAAAAATGTTTAAGAGATGGGATGAGATACTTGTAGAAGAATAATAGAACTTTGTTCAAACAAGAATGATAAAACTGATAAATGAGAAAACTTCATTTACGCTTAGAATCATATAGTGAGATCGTAACAATGGAATTGTTTATTAAAATCCAAAAGCTCCAGCTGTGGTGAAAAGTAAGTAATGATTTTCTTTGTTTCAGAGTGAGGAATTAGTGGTGTGTCCTGAGGTGGCAGAAAACACTAAAAATTTTCTAGCTTTGACACCGACCGGGAATGGTGAGTGAAGGGAAAATCTAATGGTGTTAATTGTACAAAATGAAGTGAAGAAACCAATGGAATTATTGTAACCACACTGCTTTCTATCTACTGTTTGACACTATGAAAGAATGACATACATTTTGGCAATCCTTTGATGTTTATGACAAAATAGTACCCAAGACAAATTGATATAACATTAGCAAAGCCCTTTGTGAAATCACTTAACATCAGCCTTTATGTATGAATATGCAATTAAGCCAAATTTTACCATACAGTTGGGAACATGAAGAAGGACATTTTATAATTTGCAAAACTTGTAATGACATTGGATTATCTCAGTACTCAAGTTATGCAATATGTTTTTGCTTCCCCTTCCAGTTTTGAAATTGAAACCTTGGTGATTCTAGTTAGACCCAAGATTAAAGAGCATGCCTTGACAATGAGCACTGGTAAACTGTTTTTCCATGTAATCATCACAGTGATGCCAAATCTGTTTGCCTAAAAACGTGTTAATTTATTTCACAATATCCAGGACAATAGTATCAGAGGACATGTGCTTAACGTGGGGTAAATTCAAAACCTAACTGCAAAAACTGTATTTTTGTTAGCAAATGATCAGTCTGTAGAAAATGCTTCCTGGGGAAATGGTAGAACCAGTTTTTTTTTTAATAGATTCATTCACATGCAAATTAGAAACATCTATTTCAGAAAATATCATTTTCAGATATAATTTATGAACTTCCTGTTGGAGGCCAAAGGTATGTGCAGCAGGCTTTGGAGGGAACAGGTGACTTTGGATCTATGAATCCCAAAATTTACTTAGAGATTACAAATGATCCCTCCACTGAGATGGTGGCGGCAGAGTAGGCAGCGTACGGGCTCCTATGCCCGGGCTTGTCCTCTTCTTCTTTCTTTTCCCCTTTCTTCCCCTTCCTCTTTTCTCAATTTATCTTAAGTTTGAGCAAAAACCAACCTTATAAAGAGAGCTCTTTGGTAGGAAGACAGCTTTGATGGGCTCCGGAGTGGTGGTGGCATCTTCAGAGGGAGCATGGCTACAGTGTTGGCAGCCTGTGTAACCCAGAGCGGGACTCTGGCAGTGGCATGGTGTGGGTTGATGTAGCCCAGAGCGGGACTCTGGCAGAAGCATGGCGTGGGTTGATGTAGCTCAGAGCGGGACTCTGGCAGCGGCATGGCATGGGCTGATGTAGCCTAGAGTAGGACTGTGGCAGTGGAGAAGGAAAAGTTGGTCTCTCTAAGTTATCTTTTTTACATTTTACGTTAATGAGAACAGCACCTATGCATAGTGCAGGTACCCACTTTTCACTGTCATTTATATTGAATACCTGTGACAATGAACACTTCAAATTCAAATTCACATTGACAGAGATTGATTGATCAACAGCTCCATTATCAACAGCACCTGGATGGTAGAAGCTCAATGAGATGGATATTAATTTTTTTTTTCATCTAGCAGTTCGTCTGCTCAACAATCATATGTCAGAAACCTTACCTTCTTCCTCTCCAACCCTCTATCTGCTTTCAGGTAGAAGTGTTAGAGATGCTTTAGTGTTGACTCTATGACTGCCCTGACTGATGTTGGTTAACCCAATGTTCATTTGTCCTTCTCCTGCATCGGGAATAAGATATCTTTTAATTGCTTAAAGCAAATAAAGTTGGAACCATTGGTTAAAGCAAACTTTGTAACTTGAAAGTCTTTACAAAAATCAGTGACGGTTACTGAAACACTTCTTTATTTCAGCAAATCAGGCCTCATGAATCTAACACAAAAGAAAACAAAAATACCTTCCGGGCTATCTAGACTGCCCAGTCTAAACAAGTTTCAGACATTTACACTGTTCATTACTCCTTAGACGTGGGAGCCTAATCCTTGGGAGAGGGAAGAGGCATTATATGTAACATTCTAGAAAATCAATGTATGACTTCAACGCATTTAAGCAAAATCCAAATTGAAAGGACAACTTGGTTTTATAAACAGAGGAGTGAAGTGCAGCAAGGAAATTGTGCTAAATCTTTATGAATTTCTAGTTAGACCTTAGCTTGTTGTAATTTTAGCTTTGTAGTTACAATGCACAAATTAGTAAACTGTAACAAAGTGAAAACACATTGGTTATTGCTTTACAATTTCTAATTTACTTTATTCATATTCTAAAATATTCAGCTGTGACTATGATACACAACCTTTCCTCTTGTTTTACTTGCATCAGGTGCAGACATGGAGGTTACACCAATATTCCACACACAGCTCCCTATGGAGGAATATGAAAGAGATAACAAAGAAAGAGACCAAGGTAAAACAAAAAAGGTATATAAAATTAATTAAAGCAGGAGCAGTTAATTGAGCACTCCTGCTTTAGATTTTGATTCAGCCATATCACTGAAATTTTCTCCAAATTGGTGTTAGGTTGAAATAATGCTTAATTAGTTTCAAACTTTGATTTACAAAAAGCTAGGTATTCTGTGCTACCACTTACCGACACCAGAGTTCACCATTTGGTTAGACAGAGTTCAGGCATATACTCTTCTAGTCAGAGTTTTACTCCAAATCCCATATCACAAAACTCAGGATGGGGGTAGAGAGTCCAGGTAGTTCTGGCCTTGGAAAGGGTTTGTGGTGGTTTGGATTGGCCAGGGGAGGGTCGGAGGGTGGGGATTGTAGGTCTTGGGTGGGTCTCTGATTTTGGAATGTTGGGTTTATTTGGAATGGAATCAGTTTGGGGAAGAAGGGTTGTCTGTTTATGGGATAGTTATCAGGATCCGGGGGGAGGTGCTTGGTTTAAGGGGTTGGGAAAAGTATAAGTGTGGGGAGGGGGAGTCAGTGGTGAGTTAGTTTATTTAATAGTTACCCAGGAGTTACTGGGGACTTTTAGCCCTCTAATCTTTCCGAGGTAACTATCAAACTTAAGTAATTCAGAACCCTCTGAATTTTCCAGCTTTTCCACACTCTTTCAGGGGTTTCCACATAATGAAAACAACTCCCTTGTCATCGGAATCAGCAGTGAGATTGTTGCTAAGCAATCATGGAGTCATGTGTTATACAGCACGGAAAACAGACCCTTTGATGCAACTGTCTGCGCCGACCAGATATTCTAAACTGTTCTAGTCCCATTTGCCAGCATTTGGCTCATATCCCTCTAAACCCTTCCTATTCATCCATCAGACACCTTTTAAATCTTGTAATTATACCCACCTCCAACACTTCTCTAGCAGTTCGTTCCATACATGCACCACCTTCTGTGTGAAATAAGTTGCCCCTCAGGTCCCTTTTAAATCTTTCAACTCTGACCTTAAACATATGCCCTTTAGTTCTGGATTCCCCTACCCTGGGAAAAAGACCTTGGCTATTCACCTTATCTATGACCCTCATGATCTTATAAATTTCTGTAAGATTACGCCTCAGCCTGTAATGCTCCAGGTAAAAAGCCCCAGCCTATTCAGCTTCTCCCTAAAGCTCAAATCCTTCAATCATCCTTGTGAAACTTTTCTGAACCTATTCAATTTTAGCAACATCTTTCCTATAGCAGGGAGACCAGAATTGAACACAGTATTCCAAAAGTATCCTCACCAATGTCCAACTCCTATACACAATGCACTGACCAATGAAGGCAAATGTGCCAATGCCGCCTTCTACCTATGACTCCAGTTTCAAGGAACAATGCATCTGTGCCCCTTCGTCTTTTTGTTTGGCAACACTCCCCAGGGCCCTGTCATTAACTATCTAAGTCCTGCCCTGGTTTGCCTTACCACAACGCAACACCTCACATTTATCTAAATTACACTCCATTTGCCACTCACCAGCCCTTGGCCCATCTGATCAAGGTCACGTTGTACTCTGAGATAACCTCTTTCACTCTGCACTACCAATTTTGGTGTCATCTACAAACTTGCTAATAGTACCTCCTATATTGACATCCACATCATTTATGTAAATTGCGAAAGGCAGTGGACCAACACTGATCCTTGCAGCACACCACTGGTCTGAAAGGTAAATCTCCACCATCACCCTCTGTCTCCTTTCAAGCCAATTTTGTATCCAATTAGCTAGCTTCCAGTGGATTCCATGTGATCTAACCTTGCTAACCAGTCTACCATGAGGAACGTTGTAAAATGCTTTGCTAAAGCCCATATTGACAATGTCTACTGTTTTGTCTTCATAAATTTTCTTTGTCACCTCTTCAAAAAAAGCTCAATCAAGTTAGTGAGACATGATTTGCCATACACAAAGCCATGTTAATTATCCCTAATCAGTCCTTACCCTTCCAAATGCATGTAATCCTGTCCCTCAGAATCCCCTCTAACAACTGATGTCAGGCTCACCAGTCTATAGTTCCCTGGCTTTTCCTTACCATGTTTCTTAAACATTAAACATTAGCTACCCCCTAGTCTTCCGGCACCTCACCCGTGGCTGTCGATGATACGAATATCTCAACAAGGCGTCCAGAAATCTCTTCTGTAGCTTCCCACAGAGTTCTAGGATATACCTGATCAGGTCCCGGGGATTTATCTACCTTTAGAGAAGAAGACAGAGGGTGGTGGTTGATGGGAAATGTTCATCCTGGAGTTCAGTTACTAGTGGTGTACCTCAAGGATCTGTTTTGGGGCCACCGCTGTTTGTCATTTTTATAAATGACCTGGATGAGGGCGTAGAAGGATGAGTTAGTAAATTTGCGGATGACACTAAAGTCGGTGGAGTTGTGGATAGTGCGGACGGATGTTGCAGGTTACAGAGGGACATAGATAAGCTGCAGAGCTGGGCTGAGAGGTGGCAAATGGAGTTTAATGCGGGAAAGTGTGAGGTGATTCACTTTGGAAGGAGTAACAGGAATACAGAGTACTGGGCTAATGGTAAGATTCTTGGTAGTGTGGATGAGCAGAGAGATCTCGGTGTCCATGTGCATAGATCACTGAAAGTTGCCACCCAGGTTGATAGCGTTGTTAAGAAGGCATACGGTGTGTTAGGTTTTATTGGTAGAGGGATTGAGTTTTGGAGCCATGAGGTCATGTTGCAGCTGTACAAAACTCTGGTGCAACTGTATTGCGTACAGTTCTGGTCACCGCATTATAGGAACGATGTGGAAGCATTGGAAAGGGTGCAGAGGAGATTTACCAGGATGTTGCCTGGTATGGAGGGAAGGTCTTATGAGGAAAGGCTGAGGGACTTGAGGCTGTTTTCGTTAGAGAGAACAAGGTTAAGAGGTGACTTAATAGAGACATACAAGATGATCGGATGATTAGATAGGGTGGACAGTGGGAGCCTTTTTCCTTGGATGATGATGGCTAGCATGAGGGGACATAGCTTTAAATTGAGGGGTGATAGATATAGGACAGATGTCAGAGGTAGGTTCTTTACTCAGAGAGTAGTAAGGGCGTGGAATGTCCTGCCTGCGACAGTAGTGGACTCGCCAACTTTAAGGGCATTTAAATGGTCATTGGATAAACATATGGATGATAATAGAATAGTTTAGGTTAGATGGGCTTCAGATTGGTTTCACAGGTCGGTGCAACATCGAGGGCCGAAGGGCCTGTGCCGCGCTGTAATGTTCTATGTTCTATGTTTATGCATTTTAAGACCTGTGAAAAACTGAATGCTACAAGTACCATTAAAAAGCTCCAATTTGTTAACCAGATTAGATTTTGCAAACTGCATCTTCAGCTTGCATGGAATGGAAACAGATGGGTTTTAGACAATGCCTGTGCATATACTTTCAGAAAAGATACCAGTCTTCGGTCATTTTGAGCATTTAACAATGGTAAATCTTTGTTCACTGGTATCTTAATACAAATCTTCCAAGTATATTATCCTTCTTCAAGTCTTAAAGGTCAAATCCAATAGCGCATGCTGTCTTGTAATCAATCTTTCTGACTGGATCATGTTTTTAACTTGAAAACAAATCTATAATGTCTGAGAAACTTTAACAAAAAGTGATGCTCTGTCATTTCTCCCAGTCCTTATGATATTACTGAGATTGATTTGACCTACATGAAATATCTTGGAGTAATTTATTCCTCCTCTTTATCTTCCTTTCCTCCTTCTTAAGAGAGAAAGTGTGTGAACTACACAGTGGCAAAATTTGAAGTTTGCAACCTGCATTCTTCAAGTAACCTTCTGTTTCAGTTTTGCTGCATTTTAAGAAGAAAATCTGTGTGCAGTTTAACAAGTTAAGTGTGAAATCTGAAAAAAAAATCTTTTCCTTTATTATTCGTGTTATCAGCCATCTGCATGTATGAAATTTGCATGCCTCAAGGCTCCGAATTTATAGTCTGTGATCTGGCTCACTTTGCCTTTTACCTGTAAAATTGCCAGAACATTGTGCGGGTAATATTGACCAGAAGCTTAACTGAACAGCAAACAAATAATGTGGCTACAAGAGCAGATTGGGGCTGGGCTTGCTTTCACTTTTCCTAACACCCCAAAGCCTGTCCACTAACTACAAAGTAACAAGTCAGGAGTGTTATTGAACACCTTTCACTTGCCTGGATGAGCCCAATCCAACAACATTGAAGATGCTCAACATGATCCAAGACAAAGCAACCTGACCGACACTCCATCTGCTATCTTACATGCCTGTTTCCACTGCCACTGGTGCACAGTGCCAGCAGTATGTATGCTGTTCCTTTGTTATTATTGTAAGTTGAAAATCCAGGAATTTTCCACTTAATATCATTGTAGAAACTATAATAACTGTAGTATTTCAAGAAGTCAGTTCTATGCCAGTAACATGGAATAATAAAATAACGTTGCCAGCAATATCCACATTTCATGAGCAAATATGAATAAAATTCGACAGCTATTTTTGTTTTCCGGTAGGTTCACCCTGTGATTTATATATGATATAACATTTCTTCATTGCCAAATAATATCTTGAATCGGTTGCCTCAAAGACATGTTGTGCTATTATCTTTAACAACAGATGGCACTAGAGCTCTGATTTAAACCCCTCTTCCCTTGTTGTTTGCTGAAGTAATCACTAACTGCTACTTTCAAAATTCAAAAATCTTATAATAAAGTTGTAAGCTTATAAAAGTTGTATCTTTTCAACTGATAATGGAAGCTATTTTGAACTGGGTGATTTAAAGTTATATTGTTAGTTTGCAAGATTAGAAATTCTTTATTTTAATAGCAGTAAAAAAAATATAAAATTTGAGCACTAAATCTATTTCTCCTAGACAGATCTTATTTTTTTCTCAGATTAACTCAAAAAGTGATCATAATTGACTAGTAAGTTGTATACAATTAATTCCTTGCTGGTACATAACTGAAACAATGCTAAGAAAAGTCAGGAAGTTAAAGCTTATTTTTTCTTACTCTCAGCAGGCTGAGTTGTAAAAAATCCGGAATTTGGGCCATAGTTAAATATGTATTTGCAACAGGATGGTGCCAATGGGTAGTGTGCAAAGCATACTCAAAAGCCTGTGCTTGCCAAATCTACAACATAGCATCCATTGCTACATGTGATTTTGCTATTGGAACAACAGTTACTAAATAATCCAGAATGTGCTAAGATTTACACTGGAAGGGGAGGCGATGGCCTAGTGGTGTTATCGCTGGACTGTTAATCCAGAGACCCAGATAATATTCTGGGGACTCAGGTTCGAATCCCACCATGGCAGATGGTGGAATTTGAATCCAATTTTAAAAAAAAAATCTGGAATTAAGAGTCTAATGATGGCCATGAATCCATTGCCAATTGTTGGAAAAACCCATCTGGTTCACTAATGTCCTTCAGAGAAGGAAACTGCCATCCTTACCTGGTCTGGCCTACATGTGACTCCAGACCCACAACAATGTGGTTGACTCTTAACTGCCCTCTGGGCAATTAGGGATGGGCAATAAATGCTGCCTAAAAGCAACGCCCTCATCCCGTGAATGAATTTTTAAAAAAACTGGAAACTAATTTATGATTATCAGCTGGTTGCAGTGGGTTTCATTTGTGTGTGCTAGAAACTACATGCATTTGCACATGGGATGCTATTTTATGTTTTTTAAAAAAAGATGTTGTCTGTACATGTCACTGTTGTGGTTGAGAAAGGGTTGTGGAGACTGCCAATCACTGCTGCTTTCCCCATGACAATGTCCTGATCAGTTCGAGTCTACCTGCCAGGACTGTTCTTAATCAGATAGCTATGATTATCAGTTAAGAGATCCTGTTGCATCTCCATGACAGCTATAATCCAACAATGCCCCTGAGACTATCCTTTACCTAGAATAATTGTAATATTTAATGTTGTTTTTTGTATCCTTGCAAATTTCCTTCATGCTCCCGTGTAGGAGCTCTTACATTCTGTTTTGCTATCCTTTGCTGATTTGGTATTTTTTCCATTTTCTAGGATCTGTACTTTGTTCCTTATTTTTAATTTTTTTCTTTGCTTTATGCTGTCTCTTTTTATGCTTCTCAAAATTAGCTAAAATTATCTCATTATTCATAACTAGGTTTCTGCTCACTTATCATTCTTGTCTTCAGCTTCTGATCTCCCTGTGCCTTTTACATTTAATTCCTTTCATGACCTTGCCGTTCTCACTTTGTAAACATTTCTAGCTCCCCACTTTTCCCTGCAAACTCTGAAACTGGACTTCCCTACAATTCCTGTCCTTTTGTTCTTCTGTTGGCTACTTTCAACAGTCTAGATCCATAGTCTAGAGTTTCCTCCCTATGTTACTTCTTTATTTACTGTCTTTTTAATTACCTTCATAATAGCCATATCTTTGACCAAATCTTTGGTTAATATCTCCTTCTTTGACACCTTTTTAAAAAATATATTCTCTGCCAAAAGCATAGTGACGTTGTTCTACATTTAAAAGCATTCTGTGAAGTTGTTATTATATTATACAGTAAGGAATTCCATTTACTAATATTCCTTACTACTTTGTGTGGCATTTCTGACCCAAATATAAAATATGAAGCCCAAAAATTGGTTTCACGTGTACTTATTTTTAATGATCATCACACTGAAGACCTGGGTTCAGTTCTGAAAGTTAGGGATTCAGTTTGTACTTACAGAGGCAAAATTTATTTTGCAGAAATTTTGTTTCAAGTTATGTTTTTGTGGAGCAAATCATTTTTCATTTCTAAGTAGTCTGTTTTATGGAAATTTACAGCAACCCTGATTCAACTGAAATTTGTTGGCTAGCCCCTCACCCATCTATCAGCATTGGAGCAGGATGTGTTGTATTATTCTGTATATTGAGTTGGAGCAGCTCAGCAGGTGACGGGAATCTGTTTGATAAATGCCAAAACTCTGTTTGCTTTCTTGTTAGACTACCAAGACAGTAGTGAAAGAGTTAAATTAACTTCAGAAACCAACTCTAAAAGTGTCCATTACAAAGACCAAAGGAACCAAATGTTCCCCCAAAATAGGATCAAAGTTAAAGATTTTGTTAAGAAGAACATTGAGGTATGTGGAATTATTTTTGACCTCACCACAATCTGTTGACTGCAACAGTAGCTTATTGTCTTGAAGTATATTGGTGTTCGATCAATTATTGGCTTGTTGCACGTGCCCAATTTTGTTTTCATCTCAAAAATTATCTTTGAATGAATATCCTTTATTGTCACACACCTTCAATATAAAATATAGTGAAAACTGTGTACCGTTGCTCATACGTAAGCGCCATTCACAGAATTAAATAAAAGAAATAACTTAAAAAGAGTCTAACCTTTCCTACTCCGCTGCTATAGCATACTGCTCCATGCTGCAGAGAGTATCCTGCTCCAGGCTACACCAGCCCATGCCATGCCACCAAAAGTGTGCTCTGCTTTGGGCTTTCCAGCTTTGATTTATCTGTCTAATTTTAAACAGGTTTAAGTTGTTTGTGGGTGTTTCTCTCATTAGCCCTAGTCATTTAAAAACTAATTACTAATTTTTGCAGTTGGCAAAAGAAGCAAAGAACCCTGTGCTACTGACTGATGATGAGAAAAAAAGATTAGCAGATCTATTAATGGATGTTGAAGCCGATTCATCAAACAATGAAGTAAGATCAGTTGTTTCACACATTAAAGCTCTACATTCCTTTTATAGTAAAGCTAATTTTGATTGCTCTGTGTAAAATAATTCAAGGTTGCTTCCTGATACCAAGTGTAGTAATCACTCTTTTTATACCTAACATCAAATGATTTTCAGGTGGAATTAGAACCATCGGAGGGCATCATAGTCAAGCCTAATGTTGTCTTCGCTGAACATTTCCCATGTACTAGTCTTTTTGATAGCAACCAGGAGTGGAAACATGCCTACTTCCACTACTTCAATTCATGGGTGTTTGGGCTCATCATAGCTCACTTACTGCTGCTGAAATCAACTGAGTATGGATTGACACATTATCCCAGAGACCTGGTTCAAAAAGTTTAGCGGTCTCAGATTTGGCATCATGTACCTTTTAGTGGAGTGCCAGTTGCCAGTACCTCTGTTGATTGGTGGTTTGCTTAATTAGAGGGAGCTGAAATTTGGGCCTCCCTAATATTATTCAAAATGCAGCCTGCACCTTTTAAAGGGAAGTTGCTTTTTGTCTGAGCATAACTGCAAGGCAGTTCAGGATCCTGCATACCAAAGAGTAGTTTTTAGGAACCCATTGCCTTTCAGATGCAGCACTGGAGATCCTGATTTAGGAGATCAGCTGGAAGAAGATATCATCATATCACCTTGTGACAGAACAGTAATGCTAAATTACTGCACTGGGTTATATCAGGAACATTGTAAAGTTGGAAGATGCACCAGCGTGTTTTTTTGGCTATTTTACAGTATACCGGGTAAATACGTGGTTCAGCTTCTGTGTGATATCAGAGATGGTGGATTGACAAGTGATATGATCTTCTCAGTCTAGCAGTTCAAATGAAATGCTTTCAACAAAGAAAGGCACTTTATCTTGCCTTTATCAGTTTCACCAAGACATTTGAAAGTGTGAAGAGAGAAAGTTCTTAGTTACGAGAAAATTGTCTGCTCAATGTGATCTTTGATTCTTTGATAACTTGATGGCTAAAGTCAGTTATGACTGTATAACATCTGGTGCTGATGCTAGCCTATTCAATCTACTTCATCATAAAGCCTCAGGTTGCCTACAGAGGGTGTCTATTTTCATACCAGAATGGACAGACAGCTGTTCAGCCTTGCCTTCCTGAATTCGAAGACAAACATGCTCCAAGTCCTCATCAGAGTTGATTTACAAGGTTGAGTCACTAAACTTCACATCTCCAGGCTCCACAAGCATCAGCAATATGCTACTTGAAGCTGAAATCAATACAGACTTTACAGAGCTATTATGTCCAAGTTGAGTAAGAATAGTGGAATAACAACCTGTGGTCAGCATATTCCTCAAGGAGAAAAAGCTGAACAGTTTTCACCTTTATTGTCCCATATTCTGACCATCCATTGGCAGGATGAGGTCACCATCTCAGAAGTCCTTGAGCATGCTAATTCTATGAGCATACACTCATTGCTAAGCTAACAACATCTCTGCTATTAGGACGTTCACAAGAGAGATATGTGACCTCTGGAGGCTGGCTGTCTGGAAAAGCACTGGAAGAGATGACCAAAAATGAAAAACTGACCTGGCTAAGAAGAGAACTTGAAGAAAACAGGGGCCAGTGAATCATGCACCTTCTCAGCTTGCTGTCTTACTATAGAGATGACTACATCAGGCAATTCTTAATACATAGTTGACCATCGTTGCATAAACCATCATCATAGAGTGTGGCTAGTGTCCCTGGACTCTCAAATCCAATTCATTAAATGACTTCGTTTGAACAGATGTGCTTAAGTTTACTTTTTGTTTATTGTGTTAGTAACAATAACTTTATCAAATGCAATACTTAAGTAGTTTTAAAGTTGTAGAGAATTGCCATTAATGTGGCAGTGAGGTTCTAGAGTGTCAGAATTGACTGAAGATTGTGTTGCAAATGAAGAGAGGATGCATAAGAAACCATATTCCAGGGAGCTGAAGGCCATGACATGGAAACATCAAATCAACTAAGATTAACGACATAAATAAATGACTTCATGAAATTGTTTCATAGATGAAGAAGAAATGGTTGGATATCATATATTAGAGAACAAGGAGTCATGGATGTAGGATGACAGGCAAAGAATGAGGGCAGAGGAATTTTAAAGAATCTTTTGAAAGATTTTGAGTGCAGTGGGTTGAAGTGCGGGTACAAGAAGGTAATATTGTGAAGTTGAACATCAATAGTCTTGGTGATAGATAAGCTATGAACTTTGGATCAAAGAAGTACTAGCCAGAGAGAAGCTGGGATAAGGAACCAATAGTTGGTATTTAATATGTACTGACCTTACTGACTTTGGTTTGGGGATCAAGAGGAAGGGGTGTTATTGTACAACAATATATGTAACTTGTGTTCGAACTGAGAAATAGAAGTGCATCACAACCACTCAGTTTTTAAAAATGTATAATCAAAATATATTGTTTGTTTAGGTGTAAGAAAGGTATAGCTCAAAAACTGAAGCTCATTTTAAAAAAGCTTTCAGTGTTGCTGTGACATTAGTTTCAGCTGGTAGTTTCACAAAGATATTTGAGATGAGTTCTGTTCTCCTTATGAACACCTTCTTCTTGGACCCCACTATTGTAACAATTATAAATCACTAACCATTTCCTGGTGGAAAATTTACAAGCTGGCTTATTCTGGAGCAGATTATATCAATTTATCCATTTGATGTGAAATTTCTTTCAGCCAATGCTGTATCTGGCTCTTATCATTTCAGGTTTAACAACAACTGCTGAACATTTACAAGAATTAGTAGCGAAAAAATTCCATTATTTCTGGGCAAAATATCCAGTAATAAGTTGATAAGCCTTCTTTTTAAAGTTAGTTATGTAGTCACAGCAAAATGTGTGACAGTAACTGACTTAAAAGCAGGATTAATTCTGCATTTATGCTTGCAATGCTTCAGGCAGCACCAGGTTTCAGCAGGAAGGAAGTTGGGCCACGAGAGACGGGCACCTCATGACTGTCTGGAGGTTTGCTGTAACTCTCTTGGAATGTGAGGATTTTGGGGAATTTGACTTTTATCTGATAATGATGAACAGAGATTAGATTGTTATATGATATTGATTTCAAATTGTACTGTTTGAAATTCATTCAACACTGCTCCATTCCTTTTAATGGAAATAGACAAATGAAATTAGTTTGCTTGGCAGCAGATGAGATGCAATTATAGCAAAAGTCATCTTTTAATTTGTTGTGCTGGTTCATGTAGAGCAGACAGTGGGTAATAGTGGAACACTTGTGTTTGTAGCAGAGATGTCTATCATTACTGTTGAGTTCATGCCACAGAATTGCATGTGTTCATTGTGCTTTAAACATCTGCAATAATAAAGATGTGCTTTAAATATATCTATTACTTGAAGAATTTATTGACACTTCTATTTCCAGATTTTATGGCTTTCTTAATCTGTTGAATATTGAATTTCCTTTGCAGTTTTCACAAAAACACCTTATCTGTAACAGTTAAGAAATTTAACACTTGTTGACTAGCAATCAAAAATTAAAATTATGCTTTTTTTTCTTAAATCCATGAAAACAATTGCGATATTGTCATTGCTGCCCATTGAATACTCTGCTCTATTAATTTATCGATCCCTCCCATGTGATTAATTACAGTCGTATTTGCTTTCCTGCTCCTATTCTGATGAAGGGTCATTGAACTTGAAACATTAACTTTACTTTTTGTCCACAGTTGCTGTCAGACCTGCTGAGTTTCTCCAGCAGTTTCTGTTTTTGTTTCTGCTTTCCTTTTTTTTTTCAATATTAGTGCTGCATAGAAAAGATTTTATTGCCATCTGGTTCCTGCTAATGTTCTGGTTTTCTGTTGTACAAATGAGTTCTCATCTTACTTAAAAGTTTACATTGATGCTTTGTGTTTTATTTGTCTGTAGGACACTTCAGTTCCTTGGGCATTATCTGTGGCAGAAAGAGAAAGATACACTCCAGAACCCATGGTTCAACAACATTTGGCTGAGATAGATGCCAAACTACAAGTTTTCAATTTGGATGATGATTTCCCTATGACTACCAGCTCATTATCCATTTTACAAAACCAGAATTATCAGGTAAGTGAGGCCAGGCTATACATAAGAAACAATTGGTAAATTATTTCAGAATGTATTTGACTCATTCATCTGGTGACGAATATAAAAGAGCACAAATTGAATATGTTGTCAATAAAGTCATTATGAATTTAGTTGCCAACGGTTCTTTATTACAGTAGATAAGAGCCAAAAAATGTAACTTACAAATTTCTGTTGTGTGGGGGATCAAAATATCAGTTGGAAATTGTTTCTTACACTGTTCGAGAAGCTAAAACCTGCATACCAATGGATTTGTTGGTTTAGCTAACCACAACAAAAGAAGGATATTTCCGTCAAATGTGTATAACATTTGATTAATGTAACTGTATTTTTTCGGCTGTTTCACCTTCTTTGATGTGACTTTTACAGTGAATCCTTTTTTAATGTGGCAGTCTTGCATTAGACTGTTCTGTTGACCATGTCTGTGAATTGCTGATACTCTTTAAGCATTGATTATTGTGAGTTGTATTGTCATGGCATGTATCCATGATGCGTAAACAATTAGTAGTACAAGCTCAACTGCTTGGATTATGAGATGAACAGTTGTCAAGAAAATTTAACTTGAGAGAATCTGTTTATAGCAGATGCTTCAGCCTTTCTGTAAATTTAAGAATATGTATGTATATTTGTAGGCAAGTATGCTTCATAGCAAGAATAATTAAATTACTGTTAACATCTACAACTGACATTTGCATTCCATATATTTGAAAGCTATTCTGTTTTCTGTTTCTAATGGTGCTCTAGCTTAAGTTGAACACTGTCAATTTCATGTGTTCCCTTCATGTGTTACATTTAATACAGATCTTTCAGCTTTGAACAATTTTCTGCTTCTATGGTAAACTTCCAGAAAGTAATCAGTCTCAAACTAAACATAACTTCGGTTTGTTTCAAGATATATTGTGAGATTCCTCAGCAGACTGATTTATTATAAAGATTCAGCAACTGTTATTATTATAGGAAAATGAAGCTGCAAATCCCTCACACCACATGCTGCAAGCTAGACAGTAGAGTGACTGCTGGTCATATGTTCTATATTCTGTCCTTAAAATTACCATGTTCTCTCTTCAAGTGATATCTCAGCAGTATGCACTGTACAATTGCATGACATTAAATCAAACTATGTACAATTTAAAGAGAAATGCTCATTTCATAAAATAAGTTTTATGATAGTTTCACTGTGTAAATTTGGTATGAGTGTAAGAAGCAAGGAGTTACACTGTGCTTTATTCTAGAGAAGGATCAGCCCTTAAATTTACATCTACACTACTCAAGCTTAGCAATGCTGTGAAGACAAATGCTGTTTTGCCCTGATGATAAACACAGCATGTAAATGCAGTATTCTTTCTCGGCTGAATCTATGTTCATATAATTAGTTATAATCGCATCATTACAGTATGCAATTTATAGATAGTCTTTTTAAACCAACATACTGTAGTTCTCAGATGGCTTGTTTTCATCTGTGTCACATACACGTTTATTTGCCATTCTGATGGCTGTAATTTGCCCTTGTGTTATGTAGTTTTTTAGGCTTTCATGGAATGTAACAGCTAGCTAAGCCAGCATTTATTGCCATCCCTAATTTCCCTTTAAAAGATGGTGGTCAGCTACCTTCTTGAACTGCTGCAGTCCATCTGGTGTGGGAACACCCAAAGTTGGGAAGGGAAAAATGTATTTTTACTCAGCAACAGTGAAGGAACAGCAATATATTGCCATGTCAGAAAGGTTTGTGGCTTGGAGGGGAGCCTTGTAGGTGGTGGTACTCCCATGCATCTTCTCTCCATGTCCTTCTATGTATTAAAAGTTACTGCCTAAGGTTTGTAAGGCGCCGTTGAAGGAGGCTCGGCAGCAGTGCATCGACTTATGATACACGTTATTGCTAATGGGTTTTGATGGTGGAGGGAGTGAATGTTATGGGGCGTAGATAACGTATTGATCAAGTAGGCTGCTTTGTCTGAGATAACAATCAATTAGAGAATATTCCATGAAATTCCTGACTCATGCTTTGTAGATGATGAACAAGCTTTGGAGAGTCAGGAGGTGGGTTCCTTAAGAATTTCCAGCCTCTGACCTGCTCTTCTAACTGTAGAAATTGTGTTGTTGATCCACTTCTGTTTTGGGACAACGACCAGGATGTTGGTGAGAGATTGAGCGATGGCTTAATCTCCAGGGAAAATGGTTAGATTCTATCTTACTGCATGATGTGGCACTTGTCTCAAGTGTGAATTACTTGTTACTTATCGGCCCAAGCCTGAATATTATCGAGGTCTTGGTGTGTGTAACAATGAACTGCTTCAGCATTTGAGACGTTGTTAATTGTATGGAATACTTCCCCAGTTCTGGCGTTACTCTCTGGAGAGAAGGCCATTAATGAAGCAACTTAAAATAAAACAACATCACACTAAAGAGCTGTCTGCAGCAATGTCCTGGAATTAAGATGACTTGCCTTCAACAAGCAAAGCCATCTTCATTTATGAGAGATGTGACTCCAAACAGAAGAAAGTTTTCCCCTTGATTTCCATTGACTTCAATTTTACAAGGATTCCTTGAAGCCACAATTGGTCAAAGGCAATAACTTTTGCCTCGTTTTGCTTCACCTCTTGGGTTTCCAGAGTTAATGGCTCAGAACTTTTGATTAATATCAGAATTGTTCTGACAGATGGCATTCATGGAATAAGAAAAATGACCCTCTTTCCTGCCTGCCCTCTTTCTTAAGAGCCAGCTTTCCAAGATGGCCACTTCCTGAAGCCTCCCTTGCAACCAGCTAGGAAGAACTTGACAGTGCCGGGAATGTGAAGCCATCCCGCCAAATTCTTCATGATGGTGGACTAGCTGGGATTGACCCTTTAAAAGCAGCAGCAGACACCATTGGGAATTAAACTGCAAACTAAATTTAGTATTTTTAAAGAAAACTGAAGAAGTTTCATTACACTGTTATCGTTGACCAATTGTAAATATATATTTTCCAATTTTAAATATTTTAATGGCATTATCGTATAATCATTTCAAGTAAGATGTGTTTTGCCTGTTGACATTCACTGTTATTTAATGTTCTTAGCTCATTCACCCACATTTATTCACTAAGTATTAAGAGTTTAAAAAAAAGTCCAATGTATTTTGATATTCCAATCCATGGTTACCAATTTCCCTCTGTTCCTGGAATATACACATTCGGTTTTCCCTCCAGGCCCTGTTAGCTTTGTTTTTCCAGTCCTGTCTCGTAGTATCTATGTGCTATTGTAGCAATACCCAAGTGGACCTGCAATTTTTAAAAATGGTTACTGTCCTTTCGGCCAGTGTTACTGCAATAACGTTTTGTCTTTTGTACAAGAGTTTTTGGTTTTGATTTGAGCAGTCCTTGATATCTGATTAGGTCACTGGTTCAGCTATGTCTGGGACTGCTTTGCAGATTACTGCCTTGCAATTTAGCCTATATCTCAGCTTTGGGACTATAGATTTCTGCAATTCTTGCATGTCTTTGTCATGTTTGAAATACTTTCTGTGCTATTCTCCAAGATATTATTCTGTGTTAAGTGTTGCCACAATTTATTGAATTCACTTTTGTCAGTTATCTGCTGTCTCTGTTTATCTTAAAGTCTTTTGGGACACCAGTATGCCTTTTTTCCCTGCTTTTTACTGGATGACCTGAATTCTAGTTTCTCTCCATTGGCACCATTTAGAAATCCTGCTGGTCTTTACTGTTCATTATGATGTGGCAAAGACCAACTGCTGTCATTATGTTATATGTGAGTTCTTTTAAGTCTGAAGTGGCCTGGGTGGATTAGGCTATCCATCTTTCTGGTCTACCTAGAAGACTCTTGTTCAGTAAATAATACAACTATTTACAGATTCAATGGTATGACACATAGCTAAAGAAGCTGTTCGGAGCAAACTTGTCCAAATCTATCTCCTACATGCTTCTTCTTTACTCTGTCCAAATACCTGACATCGTTATGGTGGGTGCTGCATACTAACATGTATTAACCCTTTCAGACTGTCTCAGTCCATATACAAAAGAACCTTTGGGTGAACTTTAGCTTATGGGTAGGAAATGGGAGGAATGTTCACGTTAATGTTTGTGGATTCCTCCTGCAGCTGTTGGTGATAAGCAATCTCCTGAAATCATGATATTATCAATCATCTTTGTGTTTAGCATTTTGGGAAAAAAAGTTTTCATAATAAGATACATAAAGTCACATTACAATCCAACTGCCAAGATCTTTCATCTTAATTGTGATGCAGTTTCATTCTGATGATTTGCAACAGCAGTATTCATTTGAAGGGTTGAATCTACTGTTTTGAGGACTGCAATAGAATCTACTGTTTTGAGGACTGCAATAGAATCTGGGCAACAAATTTAAATTTAACTAATTGTCAGATTTCAATGAACAGATTTCAATAAAATATGAATTACCCAGTTAAATTTATAAGAGTTCAATCTATATCAATAAGACAGTGTAGCCATCCATACAGTTTCACTCACTGAAACTTCACTTCTCTAAATAAGGTTAAGTATATCAATGTCAAGAGAGCTTCATTTCAGGTTGCAAGATCCATTGAGTATACAATCTTGCAGCACAATTTTCCTGGAGTTAGGCCAAATGCCCATTACAAATCCTTGGTTTGTTTACTTTTCTTGGTGACAGATGACTAATCTAGATGCTCATTAAAGTCATTCAGCTACATTCCTAAAGTAATATAGGCAGTCCCCAGGTCACGAATGGATCTTTTCTGGAGTCTGCTTGCAAGTCAATTTGTGCCCAAGTCCCAGAACACAATTCAGGACAGTGCAAAGGAGCTGATCGTAAGTTTATGAAATGTTCATATGTTGTATCTTTAAAATTACACCCATGTATGAGATTGTGTTTGTGTTTGTAAGTATAAGTATTAGTAAGTGGGATGTTCATAAATCGGGAGCCCTTGTATACCTATATTATTCCTTCAATTGTCTTTGCAATTTTCTCATTTTCATTATCTCATTCTTA